TATTTTTATCAAAAATTATTTCAAAATTAAAAAATTGTCTTTTTCTAAAAAAAATCTACGTACATACAAGAATTATCATCATATCTGATATGTAATAAAATCAACTGAAATTCTACTGATTATCTATTAATATTAAAATAACAATACCATAATGCAAACATGTGACTATAAATAATACAACTGGTTGAACAACCAGTTATTAACAAGTTACAAAACACATTTAGCGTTTGTTAAAACTTTATTTACTAAAATAGTATAGGAAGAAGAAAGTAATTATCTGGAAAGCCCCGATATTGTCCTAAAAGATGAACATCAAACTTTCAAATTTCATATAATTAAAGAAGGCGTATATCCACCAAAGAATAAACTTAAATATACTCGGCACCCTGCAAAGTATCCTATACTCCATAATTATGTTGTTCGAACCATGTATTTAAAAAAAAAATATATTGTTGAGTGCTTGATAGTTTATATCGATGATAAACTATTATATCAAATATACTTTGGAGAGTATTTAGACAAGATTGTAGAGTTAGATCAGTTAACTACACATGCTGCACGATTATATTGTGAGGTAAAATAACAAATATTTTAAATACTAGATAGTCACCAGTTTCACCAGTGTAATTTAATTCAGTAGTTTTACCAACAACTATATTTAATACTGTATAATTTTTATTAGGCTTTGGTTAAAGATATTCAAAACAATGAACAAGTAGAATCCAAAAGCAGACTCTCTGGACCTCTTCTTTTTGGCTTATATTGTAAAAGTGTAGAGGTAGTTCATAAAACAGTAACATCAAATGAGTTAGTACGAATGAAACTATTTAATAATTATAGCACCTCAGCACAGCACAAACATATATTAGGTTTAGGAAAATGGTTACTAGAATTTGTAGAAGAAGAAAAAGAGAATTTTTTTTATCCAAATGATAGCATTGTTCTTAAACAAGCAAAGTTTGAAATCAGTGGTCATACATATAATATCAATTATGGAAAAATTGATAAACAACAAATAGAATTACAAACACAAGCTATTGTAAAGTTAATTGATCATAATCAAATTTCTCAGAAAGCATATAGGTCTTTGGCTAGACTTGATGAAATGCTAATTAGAGCTGGAGCAGTTTATGATATGAGACAAGAAATAACAAATAGAGTAAATGAAAAAATTTCTATTAGTTTAGTCAATATTAATCAGCCAACCAGTTTTGAACCAATTACTGAAGAGTCTGATATTACAGATCCAATTATAGTTTCTAACGTCATTGCATCTATCGGTAAAGGTGGACAACACGAATTACAGACATACTTAATTATATAGTTCTATTATATGTTCAAAAAGAGGTTTTAAAACCTGGATCTACCTTACATTTACATATATCCAGAGATGGCCGAAATGTTGGCAAAAAAGTTAAGCATGTTATGGTTACTGTTGCACTTTTAAATAGTTTAATCAAATTGTATAAACCAGAATCACACTATACATTAGTTTTATTTCCCGGTATGCAAAATTATTATTCACTTCAAAATGCGCTAGCACCTTTGATATCAGACTTACGATTTTTAAATGAACATAGATTTTATGAGGTTGAAGGAAAACATTAGAATGTTGAGTTATATTTCAGTTTAGACTAGAAGTTCTT